ACATTCACATCAAACCCACATGACCATTTTACATTTCAGTAATACCTGATAAAAAGCAGTTTTGAATTATATGTGCGAAACTAGATTAATTATTAGTGTCATGATTACCAGAACATAAATTACTATCTGTGAAAAGCCCTGTTGAAACAAAAACTTGGAAGGGGGGGAGAGGAGAGAGAAGGGACAGGACCTGTCTCCATGGTATTGTTCCAGATCAAAGCAAAGTACTCTAAATGACTAGATCATCATATGAACAAGACCAAGAACTGCAGAGACCATGTTCTTCTCTCTTCAACTGCTTTACAAAAATCTGAAGTATTTTGGAAATAAGCTCAAAAGACCATCCTTAAGGTCTGTGACAAAAACAGTACTAAAGCAGTGTTCTCAGTTTCAGCTCATTCACCTTCAGAGCAAAAGATCATTTTAAGGACTCTGATCCTTGACTACAATAGCCTTACACCACTGACTATGACCAATCAATCCATGCAGATAACACTCTGCGGAGAATAAATAGTAGAGTTCCCATGTTTGGATGGGGTGAAAAGTCAAGTCACTAAAACATCTTCACAAGATCACAGCTGTGTAACTGCAACAGAATAGACAACTGCAGTTTTACAAGCCAGCAGAATGTATCAGGACCATTATGCATTTCTCTCTATGTTTTCCCATTAGCGTAAGTACCTGCTGAAACCCCGGCAGACAAGGAGGGGAGGTGAATGCAGAACTTTACAGAAATAATGTAAAACTAAGCATGTCCCATTAAATAGCAATGGACATCATCTTTTCATAGTTTAGTGCAAGCCACATCCATCTCCCATTCACAAAGTTCAGGATGCTGTCTGAAATAAAAGTGTGATGTAATTCTGGACTGAAACTAAGCAGAAAACACCAGGAAACTGACGTAGTTGTCCTACAACAGGACAATGCAAATTAAGAAGAGTGCTATTTCTATTTCAGAGTAGAAGGAGAAAGAAATATCTTACAAACCTTGATTTACAAAAGGCATAAACAAAGCAAGTTTTCATATAGGCAACTTTGGAAATTTCATCATTGCAGTCAACAAGGTCTGAAACAAACTCAGTACTTCTGCTTGCAGTATGAATTGTCCAAATTATGACATCTAGAAGTTCTGACCTGCCTCAGGCTTCACATATCTTGACAAACTGCCTCAACACACCTTAGGCAGAGACTAGAATGGGCCTCAGCAAGACAGCAAAGAGGCTGAAATTAGAAAAATACATTCTCATACTTTGCTTCAAAGAAACATACCTGGACTAGGGATGCAATAATGCAAACAAAGAAAGGGGGATATAGATGCATGACTTGGATCAAAGAAGGGAAGCTGCAATTTCATGAAAAAAGCAACAAGCAGAACTGATGCTCCCATGTAGCACTGGACTGTTTCAGTCAAACACACAAAAAACCAGAAAATTATCTCAGAAGTAGAAGCAACATGCACACGACACTCCAGAAAACAAATTACTAACAGAATATAGAAGATTCTGAGGATATCAGGATTCTGAGCTCACCTCAGGGGACAGCAGAAGAACAAAACCACAAAACCAATACCAAGGACAGGGCAGTGTCGCTGCATTATCTGTTATGTTTTTACCTCCCATTCCAAGAAGGAACAACTACACTAACAGTGCCTACAAGTAATATCTTCATTTACGGATAAATTAGCAAAACAACTCTTTTTTCATTCGGACTCCATCCTATCTACCTAAGGAAGATCTCTAAGCACCATACTACATGGGAAGAGATCTATAGATGCATACATTCTAGAGATCTACAGATACATACACCCTAGAGATCTATACATACATACACTCTACAGATCTCTATCTTAAATTTTAATGGCTTTGGATCTTATTTTATCAGCCTGCCTACTGTCTAACTGAAACTGAATGTTTCCTTAACAAGTTTTTTATTGTGATATTTTTAACACTGGGGTTCATTCAGATTCCCAACTCTATCTTTAGAAATGCACATTAATTTCAAAATAATCAAAACAAACAAACCCCCAACAAAAACTAAAAAGCCCCAAACAGACAAAAAATCAAACAAAACTCCTACAAACAAACAAAACCAAAACAAACAAGAAAAAAAAAAACCATCAACCAAACAGACAAAAAATAAGAAGAAAGAAATGAAGTACTTAAACCTTGGGCTACATGCTGTAGCAGCAAAGTAGGCCATGTATTTTCACTGATGAAATAGCAGCAGGGCATTCCTGCTTCCAGGAAGACCCAAGCTTAACAAGCTTGGACAGGGCCCAGAAAAATTTAAAAACAAAACGAAGAAAACCCCTATTTACATGTAGGATTATCACAATAGGTCTTCAACCAGTAAGTCATAAGCATTCAGAAACAGAAGCTTGATGGAGGTAAGACTAGAGGAAAAGAAGGTAACAGCTTTTTTCAACTGAACAGTAACGGTGCTAAAACAAAGCAAATTTCCTACACATAAAGTTTACCTTAGTATCTTAAAGGCAGGGCTCCATGAAAGCCAGTTTTGTAAATGAAGGGTTGTAGAACTTTTCTTGCAAAGTTAATTGTCCACAGAGGTGTAAGACTCAGGTCAAAGACAAAATGGTGCAGTCTTCAATGCAGTAGAATGATACTATTTAACAAGCATTTCAACTAACCAAATTACAGAATTCCCACATTCAGGAGCTGTCACCTAAATGTCTCCTTAAGTACCATTTTCTCAGCAGAAGTTTCAACAGTAGCAAAAACTGAATCAAAGCTCAGTTCCATCTGCTACCAAGCCAAGATCTTTTCTCGTGGACTATGAAAACACCTTAATTTTTATTGAAAAATCTGTCAAATATAAGCCTATTTTCACTGCTCCTTCTGCTGGAATAGTATGGACACAATAAAAGCATGAACTTTCTAACAGTACAAATATCCATGCTTTGGTCTATGGCAAGGCTGTAGAGACAGATAGCTAACAGAATCCACTTCAAGAGAGAAGAAACCAGAATGCTTTCTCAGTCATCCTGAAGTCAGGTATCTACTGAGATGAGTCTGTCCAACTATTGCAGCTGCTGACCAGCAGTTCTAACAGTCTCATTATCTTACTTGAGCATGAGAGAAGGTGAAGGGTTGTTGGTTGGATTCAAAGCAAATCCAATCAACAGTCTCCTGCCATTCTTCATTAGTCCTACCTAAGCAAGGCAACAGAATTTGAATATTTACAATTTAGAATTTGGCAAACACTATGAAAAATACCAACCAGACTTGGTTATGGTACATTCAAATTTTGCAAATTTCCAGAAACAGAGACACAAAGGTAAAAAATAGTTGCTTTGTACAAAAGCATTATGACCCTAAAAATGTCATGATGCAGGACAAAAGCATCACCAAAGTAACAGATGTTCTTCAACAGTCTCACAATATACCTGATGTGTATGTGAGAGACATCAGTGCAATCTTATCCAAACACTGCTCCCTGGAAGTTAACTTGCTACTTCTTCCCAGCTTGCTTGGCCCCTCAACCTGCCACAACCTGCTGTTTTCCCCTCAGATAAAACAGCTTTACCCAACCATTTTGGAACAGCTAGCATCTCCTACTCTTTATCAAATTCTACAATGTGATTGAACATAAGGAAGGGAAAAGATGACTACTGAATAACCAAAATAGCTCTGTTAGAAAGGTAGATCTTGACACACACCACTAAACACCAAATATCTATGACAATCTAGAACCTCAGGCTCAAAGGGTGAATGAAGAAAGTGAAATCAGGAAGTGTCAGAAAACAAATTCATGGACAAAAAAAAAAAAAAGTGAAACATCCTTGTCACATCATTTGTACAGATTCCACATCCCACTACTGGAACTGTTTTGCTTGAAATTTTTCTGGTAATGGTATAAAGGACATGGTACCTAAACTGGCACCTTATTCAAAGATACAGTATCCTGGCTGACTCAAGTCCTGAAAATGCTCTCAGACTTAAGAGATTTTACAGATTATTAGGTAACTTCCTACACAGAACACACAAAAGCATTTAGATATACTCTAGCCTGAAACAGTAAAATATACCTTCATACTCCTCTCTGTTTCCCTCCTGAAGCAAGTTGATGAAACCAAAACAGTATTTAAAATGTAGACAAACACTCTTGACAATTCTTTGAATGTTACAGGGCCACACATAAGTAAAATCTAATTCAAAGGGGAAAAGCAAGCATTCATAAACAAAGACATGAAACACCAAATGGCAGAAAAAGCACTAGTAGCAGAACACTAAAGGAAAAAACCAAGAAAACTACCTGAACAACCAAACACAATTACAAACATATGTAAAGAAACAGATGTGCTAAAGCAGATCTTTAAACTAATTTTCCTTTCTTTATCAAGGACACCTCAAAACAATAGCTGCAGTCCACGGAGAAGACAATCTTTCACACACTCTGACCACAAAGTAATTGGCTCAATTTACCAACCAGTAAAGGCTATACACAGTGCCATATACAGTCTGTACTGTAACGTCCATAGCAATAAAACAACATGATTGATTTCTAATTGTATTTTACTACAATTAAATCTTCAGAATGATGACTATGACAGACATCTTTGGACAACTCTAAATATGTAGTCTTCACAGTATTTAGCAGTCTTGTTACTGCAGAGATAATTATCATAATTGAACTTAGCAGTATGTTTTAGAATGTATGTAGTCATGATTCTTCACAGATATTCCACAACTTTACTGCAGGCCAATAGAGGTATGATGTTCTAATATTCTCAGAATATTTCACAGGCCATTTAGAATGGATTCCATTCTAAGGCTGATACTGCAAGTACCAAGTTATCAGATCTTTTTCCCCACAAAGACCACTGAGTGCATAACTGAATTCTACATGACTACGGCCAGCTCAACCAACCAGGAAGCTGATTAGAGCTAGCTTTCTATTTCTTTGAAGCGAAATAATACATTTCTTTTTAAAGGCTAAAAAAGGTAAAATAAAAAATACAATAAAATATCTCACGAACTTACCTTCAGACTTCAACTTTGTAAGAACAAAAATCAGGTAGTTGTTGAAATCTGCATACTGATTGAGTTGTTCTAGTTTCTGAAGAGAAAAACTGTTAAGGAAAGTTGAATCTTTACATACAACATTTATAGCTTTCTGGATACAAAGACTGTTATATTTGTTATGTACTGCTATATCACTTCAATCAGCTCTGACTATAAGCTCATGACATACAGAGCATGAACAACCTAAAAACAGTTTCTGTAATTTTCTCATTGAAGCAATAGCTTTTAGTTATGGGTAAGTCTAAAAAATAATCCATGGACAGACATAAAAATTAACAGATCCTTAAAAATATCTGTAAAGCTGCATCACCAGAACAGGCAGCTGAACATTACCAACATCTGTGTAGTCAAATGGATCAAAAAATACCAGCAAGGAGAAGAAAGCACAAAAAGAGCAGTATTTAACAGCAACTTAATGAGAAAACACTTAATTGGTCTAAGAAATTAAGACTAGTTCTTAGACCAATTTTCTTAGCAACTTCTTCATCCACTTACCTTTTCCTTTTTCACTACATGAAACATACAATAAATTAAATTGAAAAATATCTGAAACCATACTAATTTATAACTTTACTAACAAAGGGTTTTTTTAGCTAATGTATATTTCCCACTTCATTGTATTTGACAACTGAACACCCAAGTGTGCTAAAACAGCTTCATAAAGAAACAGCATTGCAGAATAAACACACAAGTTTTTTGATTTTTCTACAAAAAATTATGGACTAAGTACTGTAAATGTGAAACCATTAAACACAACCCTGCTTGGACATGCTATTAAACAGCATCCTAGAACACAACAGACATCACAATTCCTTTTGTATGTTTGTGGAACCTTTACACACACACACAAAACCTTTTACCTCTAACCTTTACTAGCCAACATCGACACAGCAGAGAGTTTTCACTATCACCTAAAAAGAATTTCAAACATCAGTTGAAAGGACTTTTGTTCAGTCAAGTTCTACACATCATCAAGACAGACAGCATCACTTATACTGGCCATCATGCATATATGATGCTGTAGCTCAATAAACAAACAAGATGTAATTAAATTATTTGAAGCAAAGCTTTAAAGCAATTTTACACTAAAGCTACATTATAAACACTGTTCCTATAAACACTTTGATATGTTAAATACTAAAGAGCACCAGTTTAAGCTTGGGGCATTATCAGAAGATGACTTCTTTAGACTCTTCTGTTCAGGATTTTTCAAAGAAAGCAATCATATTTTAAGAATGTAGAACACAGCTGAAAAAATAAGATGATCAAGATGCACTCTACCTACACCTTTCAGACCAGTGTAGAAGCCTTCCTGATATTCACCACATTTGCTACAAAAGTCTAGAAGAGGAGCAACTTTGGCTTAAAGCTAAACTCTTAATATAAATGTATGCAGACACACATACATTCTTACCTATTTAAATAGATTCTGTTGCCTTCTATGGAGACCTTCAAGAAAATGCCTTAAATGAAAAGAGATCCAGATAATAAACTCCTCATAGAATTCCAACACTTCTATAAATTTCATAGCACTTATGGCTAGGACAAGGCGCAGAAAACAACAGATGAGGCCTTTATTTTTTAAGGCCTATGCTTCTATCAGTCTCAATTTAAAGTTTTGCTTTCTCAATCCTTACTCCTTAAACCGTGCTATTCATTACTTCTACAATGAAAAGTGACTGGGGAAGGGG